ATGGACACTGGCAAAGCACAGTCTAGTCTACCAAGACAGAAAGGCTAGAAGTATTGCATTGACAATGGACTGTGTTTGTCATCTGAAAACCAGCCCAGCCATGCTTAGAGAAGGTCATCACCAGAAGGCTGACCAGCAGGTGATGATCTTTTTTGGCCACAGCGACTCATGAAGGCCATCTGCTAGGGATTAGTAAGGTTAGGATTTTTGTTGAGGAAGAGATGAAATCACCCATTCTTGATGTATTGAGGCGTGGTTAGTGTTAAAAATAGCAACAAGGAGATTTTTTCTTGGTCTCTCCGCTTTAAAAGCCTTCAACTTATCTGTGCATAGAAACCCAAATTTTGTATAATCAGTGCCAAGTACTAGGGAAAGAGAAGCCAAATCCTTGGACTTGGGAAAGGACAAAATCTCAGATGAACACTATATGTCAGAAGAAAAAAAAACCCTATACATCAGGAAAGAAAATAAGGAAAAAGTAACTTTACTGAAAATGGTGCTTAATAAGATTCGTTCTGCTAAAAAAAGTTATAATTTGCCTTTTCCACTTAGTCATCTGGAAAAGCTGCATATACATACAAAAGCATATTAGAGAAAGGAAATCCTAAGGCTAACATACTCTAGTTAACATTTCCTACTTCTATTGGAGCCAAGCCCTTAGTTCTTTGATCCAAGACAAGGATAATGGAAATTGGAAAAAAGAAACAAAACTATTTACCTTAAGCACTATTAGTAAATATTTACTTTGCTACATGAACTATTAATTGGCTTTATGATTGATAATAACTGGGGAAAGGAGTGCAGAGGAAGTATGATGAATAAGTTAACTCTTTTTAAGAGCATGTGTAGTCTTTATTTAATGACAGCTTTATCTTTTTCTAATACATAGTTTTGAATTCCATTACTCAAAAACTTTCAGTGTCCCCCCATTACCTATCGAATAAAGCCCAGACATCTAAGTATTCAAGGCTTTCCACAATCTAGCTCTATCATGATTTTTCAGCTTTTTCTAGTACTACTTTGCATTCAACCCTGCAGATGAATTGAACTGCTTTCCATGCCTCTGATATATCCCATGCTTCCTTACCTTTGTGTCTTTTCTCATTCTGCTCCCTGTGACTAGACTGGCTTTACCTTTATTTCTGCCTGTTGAAATCCTTCCTTCATTGCTGTTCAGGGTCCTTATACATCTAAAATTCTATAATTTTCTATGATTACATGTAGGAGCACACGACTCTTTCCATTGGGAGTCTCAAAGTACTAAATGACTGGTGCCTCTTGTGTTGACCCAACATATTGCCTCAGAGAAAGCATTATCCACTCTGAGAGTATAGTGTAGTGGTTCAAGTGCAAAAGTGACACCATGTACTGGGAAGGAGGAAGGTTCTCCCTTGAATACAGGCGTTGTCAATAGTCAGACACAAATGGAGAGGCTCTTTTCTGAGCTTACTGATTTACACAGCACAACCAAAAGAAATATTTTTATCAGCAGGCATTTGCAGTAAGGAAACTCTTGTCCAGTATATGCAATAGGACAGTTCCTTAGCCCTTTGCTGGTTGTCATTCAGTATGCATGACAGTAAAATCTACTGGCCCTGGGGGGGTGGAGAGGTGGGGTTGGCAGGCAAGAGAAACTACAATTCTAATTGCCAACCCAAGGGTTAAAGAGAACTCCTGCCATGTTCAAGGCTTACCCTGGTGGTGATGTATTTATATATTCTGATGAAACACAGCTCTAATAGGCTGTGTACAGGTGTTTTACTCTCCCGATTTAATCACTGTAACTTGCAGACAACAGCCGGTAAACCACAGGACACTGTTGCCTTCGTTAGACCAGAGCTCCCCAGGTAAACAGTAAGCCAGCAAATACAAACCAGACCTCTGGGTCAACAGCAGAGGGCTGTGCTTTCATCTCACTCTGTTGCAACCCATTTGATCTCATTATTTATGAGCCACAAATTATGTTAACCAAGGGAACATTCTCTTTCATAAATTGCAGTCCCATAGTTATTTAGCAGAAGTAGCAAATATACGACTGAGCAGAGATTTCCTCTTTGACGGGGGAGGGTAAGGAGGTGGCAACTGAAAAATTCAACTCCTTCCCTTTTTCTTTCCTCCTTCACTCTATGAAATCAAGTGGAGTCAACTACAGGAAGGCCTTTATAGTTCCACTTCCTGATATTAGAAGAATTAGGAGTCCAGGGAAATAATAGTTAATAATAATAACTAGCATTTATATAGCACTTTAAAGCCTGCAAAGCTCTTTAGATGCATGGTCTTATTTGATTCTCACAACAATTCTGTGTGGTAGAGTGCTATTATTTATCCCCATTTTACAGATAAGGAAACTGAGTCTGAGAGAGGTTAAATGACTTGCCCAAGGTCACTCAACCAGTTAGTTATCTGAATCAGGCTTTGAACTAAGGTCTTCTTTCCTTCAAATCTAACTCTGTCTCTATTACACCACCCAGCTACCTAAACAAATGCTTCCCTGGCAGAGACTATGACTGACATTCAGAGAGTATCCTTGGAAGGCGAGGTGTGATTGTGCTGAATCAATACCCGTGGAACTATCTGTCTCACCTGCCAAAGAGATCTGGTATAGGGATCACTAAGCTAGGCTCTCCATCCAACCAACATATTCTCTCTGTCTCTCTCTCTCTGTCTCTCTGTCTCTCTCTCTGTCTCTCTCTCTCTCTCTTTTTCTCTCTCTCTGCTCTCTCTGTCTCTCTCTCTCTCTCTCTCTCTCTCTCTCTCTCTCTCTCTTCTCTATCTCTCTCCCTCTCTCCCTCCCTCTCTCCTCCCTCCTTCCTTCTCTCTCTCTGTTCTTCTCTCTCCCCTTCCTCTCCCACCTTTTCCTCCCTTTTCTCCCCACTCCCTCTTCCTCTCTTTCTCCTGTTTGTCTGTCTGTCTCATAATTTCAACACTTGCATTTGTATGATGCTTTTATCCTCACCAAGTGCTTTATTATTTGATCTGCCTAAGAGTCCTATTACTTTAGCAAGGTGGCAAAGACATTATTATGCCTATATATAAGTATGGGGAATGGTGTTGAAGTAATTAACTTGCTTACTGTCATATCAATAGTTAGTGGAATAGAGCTGGAGCTGGAAACCAAGTCTTCTTACCCCCAACCAACTTCAAGTGAGTTTAGACCATATCTGTTACTCCCCCAGGCTAGATAACAGACACTCATTCCTGCGTGTTCTGTATGCACATTCCAGTTCATGAGGCTTTGCAGATAAACGTAGAAGAAAGTACTTGCCCTGTGGAATAAGGTGGTGATACTATAAACCAGACATAGGAGGAAAATCCTATTAAAATATATATCTTCTGCTTTCTCCTATTATTCAATTGCCTAAAGAGATAAAAGCAGAATATGAATTGAGAGCCTATAAAACTTCCAATCTGCCAGGCTGATAAAAATAAATGGATGATATGTATACAGTGACATCTTCAATTTGGCCTCCAGCCCTTTCCTTATTTCAACGCATTTTCCCTCCCTCCTTATTTAGAAAGGCAAACAGTTCACATTTGGCCTTTTCTTTGTGTGCTTCTATTATGACGTTTGTTTTTACTTTAGAAATCAATTTCGGTCTGGGTTGGGAGGAGGCCTGTATTCATGTGTGTCCATCAGGTTTCCAGGCAGGAAATTTTATTAGGTTCTATAGTTCAACTATTTAGGTTAGTCCAAGAAAGCATTAAAAGAGATATTTCATACAGGATATATCATCTGCAGGAGCCTTTTCCAGTCTCACCCAATGCATTCCCTTGGAAATTACCTCTCATTTATATTGTATATATCTTATATAGACATTGTTCTTTGCATATTGTCTTTGTAATTAGAAAGTGAGCTCCTTAAGTCAGGGACCATGTTTTGGCTTTTATTTGTATCGATAGCACTTAGCATGGTGCCTGGCACTTAGAAAGCGCTTAACAAATGCTTCTTAGCTGACTGCCAGCCAAATCAGTCCTCTAGTTGCTTCTCTAAGGATGGTGTAGTAACAGTATGGCTAAATTGGGAAGCCATTGGATGGTTGTGGCTTGGTTTAATGGGAAGCACATGGTTTGCTGTTGTTTGTGACTTCAAGGCCAACCTCAACTCCTCACTCTTCCTCACCTCACATATTCCAGTCAGTCGCCAAGCCTTGTTACTTCTCCCTCTGCAACATCTCTCATATCTATCGCCTTATCTCTACTCATACAACCAAACACCTTTATCTCCTCTTACCTAGACTACTGCAACAGTATCCTGATTGGTTTCCCTACCACAAGTCTTCCCCTGCTCCAGTTACTCTTGCCCACAGTGGCCAAAATGATTTTCCTAAATCACAGGCCATGGCATACCCACTACTCAATAAACTCCAGGATCTCCCTATTACTTCTAAGGCCAAATAAAGATTCCCTTTTGGGTATTTAAAGCCCTGGCCCCATCTTTCCAGCCTTATTATACATCATCCCCCTTCTCACACTTTATGGTCCAAACAAAGTTGGCCTTCAAACAGACAACACTCTGTCTTCTGACTCCATGTCTTCTCACGGACTGTCCTCTATTTCTAAGAGGTACTATTACCACCATTTAGAATTCCTAATTTCCTTCAGAGCTCATCTCCGGTGCCAACTGTTCTACCTTACTAATGGCCCTCAACTGCTAGTACCCCATCTCCAATAACTTGTGTGTGTGTGTATATAAACAAACAAATATATATCCATATCTACCTACTGCTATGTGTGTGTCTATGTATATATGTATATATACACATGTGCACACACAGATAACACACACACATACACATACACACACACACACACACACACACACAGCCTTCTCTGATCGAATTTAAGGTCCTGAAGGCAGGGTCTGTTTTATTTCTCTTTGTATCCTTACTGCTTAACATGATGAATAGCAGTGGTAGGTTTTTCAATAAATGTTTATTGGTTGAATGATAGCTTCCCTTTAATGAGAAGGGTCTTTAACTGGGTTTCTTCTCTGGTTTCAGAATCATGACCATGCCTGCATTGCATGCCGGATCATCTACCGTTCAGATGAGCACCATCCTCCAATATTGCCCCCCAAAGCTGACCTGACCATTGGCCTACATGGGGAGTGGGTGAGCCAGAGGTGTGAAGTTCGCCCTGAAGTTCTCTTCCTCACTCGCCACTTCATATTTCATGACAACAATAATACCTGGGAAGGGCATTATTATCACTATTCTGATCCCATCTGCAAGCATCCCACCTTCACTATTTATGCCCAGGGTCGCTACAGCCGTGGTGTACACTCTGCCAGGGTCATGGGAGGCACTGAGTTTGTGTTCAAAGGTAAGGCTCCTGTCATAAATCAAAATTTCTCTAGGGATTGAATGATGATGAGCAAGGCTTGACCATTTCTGCTGTGCACAGGTATATTGCCACAGGAGACACTGAGGCAAGAAATTAGGGGAGAAATTTTTCTGTTCGCAGAACCTGTCATACAATGGTTAGCAGATGCCCACTTCTTACAGAACAGTGACAGCTTTGTATATTGTTGCATGATTCCATGAGTTTAGGAATCCTGACTCCTGGTATGCACTTTAACAATATCCAAAACCCTAGCCTAGAATGCAAATACCATTGGGAGAGGTAATACATTTACTTAAATTCTCAAAAAAAAGTATAAATGACTAATAGCTGATCTTTCTTAAGAGCAAGTTTCATGGGGAAAATGCAGAAAGGCATTTATTGCCTGAGGTTGTAGGGGAAAGATGTCATAGAATGAATAAATTGTACAGAAAAGGGGCCCTCACCTACTTGGAGGTGTTTTTTTGTTTGTTTGTTTTTGTTTTCATCTTGGCATAGAACATTGTATTAGATCAGGGGTTGTTAACTTGTTTTGTGTTATGCATCTCTTTGGCAATTTGATGAAGTTTATGGATCCCTTCTCAAAATAATGTGGGTTTTAAAAAATTTATATTGGGAGGAAATGTTAAGTTTCAGTTAGAGGTTAGTGAAAATAAAGATGTCTTTTTTTCCCATCCAAGTTCACAAATCTCCTGGTATCCTGGTATCCATCCATGGCCCATGGACCCTAGCTGAAAACTATATGAAATGCAGAATTGACCTGGAGGGAACAGTAATGAAACAGAGATGGTGATTCATGTAATGAAGGAGCTTACAATCATTTTTGTTAAGTAGTATGAGATGATGGGATATGTTTTCAAGAGTAGTCATAGAGTCTCTTCTTAGATGTCTTCAAAAACATGTGGACACATTTCTGAGATGATGGGCACATAGACCTGCCCAAGGGAGTCAACGAAATATAAAATGACAGATCTAGAGATAGATTTCATGGTATCTGGTCCAATGCCTTCATTTTATGGTTAAGGAATCTCAAGAGAGGTTAACTTAACCCAAAGAGGTTAAGTGACATTCCCATAGTTACATAGTAGGTAGAGAGCTGGACCCAGGTTCTCTAACTTCCAATCCAAGGAGCTTTCCCATGCATAGCAAAGCTGATGTGGGAAGGGTGACAATATGTGGACCACTTTCAATAAAGATCACATAACCAAACTATTCTAATGTAAAGCATAGCAAAGGCATCTTATCTGAGTCTCATTTACCCAAATAAATTTGAGAATGTCTGGGAAGCCATATGCAGGACTATTGCCCCCCAAAGCTGACCTGACCATTGGCCTACATGGGAAGTGGGTGAGCCAGAGGTGTGAAGTTCGCCCTGAAGTTCTCTTCCTCACTCGCCAGAAAGAGCAAGAAAGGATCTTACATTCATTTCAACTTGTAGAGGGGTTACCTGCTCAGGTATAACATCCTTGACAAATGGTCATCCAGACTATTGGAAGACTTCCTGTGATTGAGGAATTCACAACATCACCAGTGAGGCCATTCAGTTTTGGAAGATGCCCTTATATCAAGCTAGAGTCTTTCGCTCTACAATTTCTGAAATCCATTGTTCCTAGCATTGCCTTCTGGGGCTAAAGAAAATAATTCTAATCTCTCTCCCGCTTGAAGGCTCCTCAGATACTTGAAAGATAGCTATCATGTTCCCTGCCGAGTTTTCTCTTCTCTAGCATAAAGGTCCCCAGTTTCTTCAGGAAATCCTCACTCATATGGCATGGTTTCCAGGCCTCTTACCAGCTCTTCCCCGGATGTGATCCAGCTTAGCAGTTTCTTTCCTAAAATATGGTACCCCAAACTGTACAATCCTCTATATGCTCTAACAAGGGCAGGGTACAGCAGAACTCTCTCTCCCCCCTTGTTCTAGACCAGAGGTGGGGAACCTGCGGCCTGAGGCCACATGTAGCTCTCTACGTCCTCAAGTGCGGCCTTTGACTGAATCCAAACTTCACAGAACAAATCCCCTTATTAAAAGGATTATCTAAAACACTGCCCTCCTACTAACATAAGCTAAGATGGCTTTAGCTTTTTGCTCACCACATAGCAATGCTTTCAGTCCACTAAACTCCCTAAAGCTTTCCTACGACTCCCCCATCCCTTCCAGCTTTGAGGTTCTATGTGAAAAGAGCTGGGATTTTTCTCTTCTAAATCTTTATCTACATTTTGTCTTACTGCCCACAACTTAATCTCTTTCAGATCCTAGCCTTGTGGGCCTGGATTAATTTACAGGGCATGGAGAAGTGGTTGATGCTAAATCTATTAAAGACCTCAAAACATCCTATTCTATTAAAAAAAATTCCAGTTTCCATCAGTACTCTTTAGTAGGCTATTTTTCGATGTGATAATATTAACTCACATGATGTGATGATGTAGAAACATTTCATAAGCTATTGCTTTCTGAGGCTGTGAAAATCATAATTAACAGTGCATGCCTGCAGTTGACAGAACTAGCAGGCACATCTTATTGGCCAAATGAAGTAAGTTTACCCAGTCACACCTGTAATTCATTTGGTGTGATTATCATCCAAAGAAAAAGGTTCAGCTAGTGCCAAATAAGAAGGTTCTGATCATATGGGGGCAGGGGAGGGGATGGAGCCTTTCTTCCTCTCCACTACCCCTTAAAAAAAAAAGAAAATCTCATTGATATATTGTATTGCTAGTATCTGCTCTGCAGGGCTTCACTATCACATGCTTGCTTCTCTGGAAACGATGAACTTTTTCTTTTTATCCTCTTCCTCCGTAGTGAATCACATGAAGGTCACCCCCATGGATGCAGCCACAGCCTCTCTCCTAAATGTGTTCAATGGGAATGAATGTGGAGCCGAGGGCTCGTGGCAGGTTGGAATTCAGCAGGATGTGACTCACACCAATGGTTGCGTTGCCTTGGGAATTAAACTACCTCACACTGAGTACGAGATCTTCAAAATGGAACAAGATGCACGGGGTCGGTACCTGCTGTACAATGGCCAGAGGCCCAGTGATGGATCCAGTCCTGACCGGCCAGAAAAGAGAGCCACATCTTACCAAATGCCCTTAGTTCAGTGTGCATCTTCAGCACCCAGATCAGAAGACTTAACAGAGGAGAATACAATAGGTCACTATGGGAATGGGGCACCTGAAAGGAATTTCTGTATGGTATTCCTGACTCTGATTGCATGCCTTTGGACTGTTCCACATTGGAATACCTTCAGCTAGATTTCTTTATGCTTTAAAATATATATATTTTTATTTTCCAAACTAGGATTCCTTGGGATTTGTGGATTTTCTTTCCCAAAGAAAGGATGTTCATTCCTCTGATGCACTCAAATGCCTAAGAACTGTTGTTCTTTTTCTTCTCCCCTCCCCCCCCGAAGCCCCACTTCCAGCCCCAGAATCATGAATAGCACTTGTTTGAAGTTTCTGCTTTGAACTTCATCCAGTCTGTTCCCTGGCCTGAGTGACTGCACAACAGTAATTGCACTTTAGGACTGCAGACGGTTTGTGGGTAGTAGATTCTTTGGGGGTTGGGGTTTTTAAAAAAATATTATATCATTTGGCTGCATTGAACTTTAGTTGAAAAAAAGATCCAGCTACATTTTTAACTGCCGTTTTCCTCTTGTCACGTCCTTTCCCATCTCTGAAACTGCCTCTCCTTCAAAATCTAACCATCTTGAATAGCCCTATGCAGTATTGGGTTAGTGCTGGGAGGATGGCATCTTCTTACTTCAAGAAAATGCTCTGGTGTAGATATGTATATATTCAAAGACACAAGGATTTATCTAAATGATCTTTTCAACTTTTATACAGAAGAAGAGAGAATTGAAAGCCTTCCTTTCATAAGTACTGAATGGAAAATATCTGTAATTAAAGTTTCAAAGTAATTTAAGCTATTTTTACACTTTTTTTTTTTACTTTTAAAGAATACAGTTAGTGGAGCATATGTGGCACTGTTCTGTGTTCATGGTTGAGAAGAGTCAAAAGGGACCCTAGAGGTCAATTTAGTCCAACTCATTACTGTGATTTTGTTATATTAGGTTTGTTGTTGCTTCTGTGTCCTGTGTAAATAGGTAACTTGCTGGAATCAGTATGTAGAAAGCAATGCCATTATAAATCAGAGGGTAGACAGTAATGTATCTGGTATGTACAAGTCCTGCAAAGTGCCACGTGAATGCTGATGATAATGTGGTCCTTTCCTAATATGCCATTTCCTTTTCTTAAAACGTTCACCTTGGCTTGTATGACATTTTGTTATAGGTAAGCAGAAGTATCTAGATTTGCAATATCTCTCTGGCCATCAAAATACATTTTTAGAAGAAATGTTTGCTGGGAAAGGGCCTGGTATTCAGAGAAAATATAAAAAAATCAGTATCCTGTGGGATTTGTAGCATTCCTTTCATGACATGTATATCTTGGCTTTTGTATTAAGTCTTACTATTATATGGACTTAACTGGGAGTCAGGTAATTAGACTAACCCTCCTAATCAGCAGTTGACTTAGTTATGCAACATGGAATAAACCAGTGTCTTCTTTCCTCAGTCTAACCTTGTGAAAGATAGAACATAACATTTCTGCTCCCATTTCCATCCCACTGAGACACTGGAAGGGTATAATATCTGTAATGTGCTCTGGATTCTTGGAAAAGGGTCTGTGTAAACATCAAGTATTCTTAAGATAGAAAGTAATGAAAAAGAACTGAAACAAATAGGCAACTATTGAAGACCTAGATTTAAGAGAAGTCTTGTAGAAGGCAAAAAATCAGTCAGGGTTAAGACCTTATTCTATTTAATATTAAAATTAAATGCCAGTAGTATTGTTTGTGGTTAAAATTTTTAAGGATCATGTGGGTGTGTACTATTAAATAAATGTATTTAGATTATATTTATAATTATGGAGATTACCGAGATCATTTATTCAGCATAAAAATACTAACCTGATTTGCCAAATTTACTATATAGTGAAAAGAACTGGAAAAGCATTAATACTCCTGTAAAAATTTATTTTATCTATGGAGCCATCTAATAAGTGGAGTAACCATTCCATCATCATAAGCCATAACTAATCACATGAAGCACATAATGTTTACTGTCATATGCTATATCAGCAATTTAACCATGAAAGTGACAGGCTAATAGCTATTGAAATTAGAGATTCTAACCCATAGGTCTGTAAAATTGTTTCCATATTAAATACTTGCAATTTTTAGAAAAAATGTGTGTATATTTATATAATTTATTTTTAAAGTTGCAAGTATGTCAAGAGATATATATGTATATATCTATATACACATATATGTGCATGTATCTCTATACAAAAATGTATTCTTACAAACACATGTCTTGTTAATGAGACCAAAACAGAATTCATGTGAGTACAGGTCCTTTAGCCCTAATGTAATTTATTATAAATGATAACCAAGATAACACATTTACATAGTTTGGGTACAATGATGGGTTTCTTAGCTGTTAATTGCTATATATATGTTTGGACTTACTGTGTTTTTTACAAACTTACTTAGATATAAAATCCTATTGGTGTGGGGTCACTTAACCCTTTTTATCTCTTATTTTGTACAATTCTTGCCCATGTCTTTCTGTAAATTGAATACAGAGGACATACCTGACACACTGGAGGCTTTCCTCTAGTATTTTAATATTTTGTGGGTACCAGTGTAATCTAAATCATCCATTATTTTTTAGTCTTAATATATAACCGGCCTACTTCCATCTAAGATGTGCATGGCCAGATAACATGTATTTTATTCCATGAATGGGGCACAGGCTATCATGGGTAATATAGTCTACTTATACCCACCATATGTCTTTCTGTTGCCCTTTGGGTTACTTGTAATTTTGAATATTTTAAAGTCATGATGTTTTATGAGTCATAGCCATTTAGCATCACCAGGAGAATATTGTGATTAAAGTATTTTTTTTTCTGGTTGCAAAATACTTGAGGTCATTGAAAGTATTGAGGAATTTCTCAAATGCCATATAAGCCATTCACCTCCCACTCAGTTCAGGATGTAGTTCATTTTCCATTGGCAATATCCATCCAATAATTCAATCAACAAATATGAGTAAGTATTTATAGACACTATCCAAGATGTACATGTTGGTGGATTAATTCAGTGGGTTCTCCATTCAGTTAAATATCATTGTCTTCATTCTCTTTGTTCTTCTAGTAGTAGGAAAATCCCTTTTGAATTTCTGTGGTTTTCGCCGAAGAAGTTTAGAGGATATGGGGCTCAATGCAATTACTACAATGGCATCTGTGAATAAGAACATTTAAAGAAAACCTTTATTAATAGGAAACACTTTTGCTTGAATGCTGGGCAGGATATCTTCTATGCTACAGTCGAATACCTTAAGTGAGCTGATGTCCTGCTGTTTTATGACAGCTTGATAAAGAATTGTCGAACAAAGTGATTTCCTTAGTCACACTTTTTACAATATATGCAGAAGATGACTCATTTATTTGCAGAGGATCTTCAAGGTTGAATTTTGTCCTACCAAGTCCACCAAAAAAAAAAAAAAAAGATCAACAGACACAGTGGGAACTATCACCATACATTATGAGAAGGCAAAGATATAGAAATGTAGATGTAGGGAATTTTCTGTTACCTTTTCGTGCATTCATCAATAACATCCTCAATACATATAAAGATGATTTTCATCAAAGCTTTATGGAGCTGAGAAAGTAAACATATAAGTAAGTAGTTCTTGGTATCTTCATTTATGAATAAAGTTTTCTAAAGGTGAATGTCCTACATCAGATTACCCAGAGGTGCTGTTGAGTATCCCACCATTCTTGGAAGAATAAGGCTATAAAGTTCAGGAAAGTTCACACTGGAGAGTCAAGAATTATAACCTTAAATGGCTTTTACAATTGCCATTCTTAGAAAAGTTATGCTGATTTTCTACCCCGAACTTTCAAGACTCTCTTACATTTCCTCCAATTCCAAAGCAGGAAATAAGGTGCTAGCCAGGCCCACTAGGAGATAAAAAAGGGGATATTTTGCTCCAAGGGTATAGGAGAAAGAAGTGTGGCTCTGGCCATAATGTGTTCTTCCATGCCAGAAACCCTCTAACCCTCTTCTCATAACCTCAGCACATATAATATCTCAGCTCTGGGTGTGTGTGTGTGTGTGTGTGTGTGTGTGTGTGTGTGTGTCTTGAGAAGCAGGAGGTGATTCCAATCCCAGGCCTTTACCTTTTGAGCCAGTTTTAGTGCCATGTATTTTCACATGACGTCTGTTGCCACAAGTGACCTGAATTAGGAAGAGTTTCTTTTTCTATATGATAAGTTCAGAAAGGATAACTCAATCCAACAATGGTCTTAGAAAGTTGCTCAGAAAGTAAGTAAGTGATATTTATAAAATTTGAATTTCAAACTGAACCTACTGGAATAGTAACCATAGGGTTCCTAAAAGCCTACGAGAGTCAAAGATCGTATTTGTCCAAATTGCTTGATACAATAACATGCAGTAATTACATATACCCATTAGAAGAGTCATTCTCTACACGATTAATATGTTCAAAGACATACTAAGAATGGTTTGCACACTGGCTGAAAATTCTGGTTTATCTAACAAGAGTGCGCCCATTCTCCGTGGAAATAGAATGAAATATGACATGTGCCAACTCTAACCCAGAAACCAATAAATGACAGCAGAGTTGCCATGTAAGCACAACTTGCAACTTGCTCAAAATAAAATATTTTCCACTTGTGCTGTGGTGGGGCTTCCCAGGCCCTCTATAGGTTTTGCTAACATTTTTGTAAACTCTGTTTAAGCTAAATATAATGTCCAAGAACATACGAAAGAAAAAATAGCCAGATGCCTCCTGTTCATTTCTCATTTCATAGATTCATAAACATTCTTTCCTCAATATTAAGAAGATTGTATGTCCCTTACCTGTGCCCTTCTTAGAGCCAATTTGGGATCTTCAAAACCATATGATGCCACAACTTGTCTATCTCACTTGGAAAATTGACTTGGGTCACAATAACCTTTGCTCACAAATTGAGTAAATTGTAGCAATGAAGCTTACTACCCTACTCCCACCACTCCCTTCTCCTCCTCTAACACAATCTTATTCTCCAGATACTTGTGTGAACAGGAGTGCTCTGCCATGGGGAGAAATTTAGGGGAATTTTGGTTTCCACCTTCTGCATCAAGTAAGACACAATCCTGCCAACATTCTCAACAAGACCACATGGCAATCCAAGAGAGACCAAACTAGATTCTGAACATCATGGAGACAATAGGGCTATTACATGGATAAGACACAGAGTTTTAAACTAGACCAAAAATGTATTTATCTCCTGTGACAGAAACGAAGTTGGGTAAATGATTTCCAGAAGAAAGACTTTCCACACATGTGTTATTAGACATCAGTAGAGTATCTATCAAATTACCTTTCATTCTGCTATGAACAGCAGTCCTCAATATTGCAAACTGAGGCAAACTTCCAGAGGAGTAAAGTCTCAGGAATTTTAGGAATGAGAATCTGTTAAAGCCTAGTACTCCACAGATTGTGGAAAGTAAATAATCTAGTGGGAGAAACACTTCCAGAGGCTAGCTCAATATTGCCATAAATGAGGTGAAATAACCTACATTTAGAGCCACTATTAGGAAGAATCATGTACAGGACACTTTCCTATTTCCTATATAAAACATTATAGGTTCTTACTGCCTGGAACAAACTACAGAGGATCTTATTTATGTATAGGTTGCCTCTTCTACTAGTATGTGAGCTCCTTGAGGGCAGGGATTATTTTTTGCTTGTTTGGGTTTTTTTTTTTCCATCTCTTTTTGTATCCCAGTGCTTAGCATACTGCCTGTACAATATAACAAATGCTTAATATATGCTTGTTGATTAATCAATATTCACTTTGGAAATAGACAAGTGGAAAAAAATCAATTTTGTAGAAGATGCTCCAGAAAATTTAGAGTTGGTTGATGAAAAAAGATGTTTCACAATGTGAGTTATTTGGAAAATATTGGGAAATAGTATTCTGCATCATGCTCTTAAAGAAAGTGGCTAATAAGCTTCATACTAATATTCTCACTATCAGAACATACTTGCAATTTCTGATAGAGTATAAGCTCCTTGAGAGCAAGCAGGGACTGTTTCATTTTGTCTTTGTATTCCCAGTGCCTAGCACATTGGCTGGCACATAGGAGGTGATGAATAAATGCTTTTTGATGGCTTGATTATGAGAGAGAACACTGAAAACAACCTGGAGATTGCCTCCAGTACTACCCATACCTGGGTCAAAGCAATGTAAAAGGGAAGAAACTGTACAATATGCCATAGTTTGGTAGCGTAATGGCATTGGAATACGGTTACTTAGGGTAAATAGAAGAATCTAGGGGAAGGATTGTAATGAGAAGATTGCCTTGTCCTACTATTACTACTATCATAAAATACCGAGAATAAACAGGTGCCTTAGTAAAAGGTGGGACTGTTTGTCTTAGAAGTTATTTTTTTCCTTAAACTTTTAAAATGTAAGTTCTTCCTAGCAATAAAGGGAATACACAATACATGTACTGTAATCAGTTTCAAAGCAATAATGTTCCTTGTAGATGTCTATCATTTACATAGAGATCTCTTGTCTTTTTCATGAAGCAATATATTTTTAACTCAGAATCTAGACTTTTTTTCTATTTCTAGCACTTTTCCAATGTCAGGGTCTTGTTATTTTTAATTTTTATTCAGCATTTATGTTTTTTAAATATACAAAGCACTTCTTCTCTTCCACTCTGTGTTCCAGATTGCATTGCTGGAGAAATTTGAGTAACTGTTAAAAGACTGTCTAAAATAAAGGCTGTCAAATAAAGCATTAACACCCCTCAAGAAAGTGTCACACAATGAATTATTGCTTCTAATCAGGGGAAAAAACAGAACTTGCAAACATTTGACTGCATTTAATATTTCCCAATAATTTGTGTTTCCTTTAAAGGTAGAGAGAATGGAAATAGGAAAAAAAATTAACAATATGAATATTCAATTTTCAAATGGTATTTAATATCAGGTCAATAGGTTCATTTTGTTTTACATGGGTATATATTTTAGTTCAAGTCAGTAAGCATGTTTTTAGTGTTCAAAATGAAGCTCACTATGTCAGATAAAAACTCAAAATGTGACACTCTGATGTTTGCATAGTGATTTCCTTGGGACAATCAATCCTATGAGGTAGGTAGTGGAAATGTGCTTGTCCCTTGCACACTCCAGTCTAGGAGCTCAAGGGAGAGAAAGTGCCTAAGACCCCTAAGCCGAAGGATTTGAAAAAGAATGGAACTTATAGACTCTAGGAATGGGGAGGGCCCTCTAACAAGAATCTCTTCCCATCCACCACCACCACCACCATGCCACGTGTAGCAACCCTGGCTCCCAACTGCTGTTACCAATGCTCAGTTGCCAGACATCAGCATAGCTCATATTCAGGACCAAATCGGGAGTTCCCTCTGTCATTCAACAAAGTGTGAGAGTGCATATTCATTTCCTACAGAAGTGTTCCAGCACATCAAATCATTTAAACCTTCCGATGATCACCTTGCTACAAAAACAGCACGTCTGTTCTGTATGTGAAGAAACTAAGCCTCAGAGAGGTTAAATGATTTGCCTATGGTCACAACAGCTAGTGTCACAACCAGGTCTCAACCTCAAGCCCTCTAATTTCAAATCAAGCATTCTTTCTACCAGGAAACACTGTTTCTTTTTCTACTTTTTGTGTTTTTTTTTCCCCAATGCGAAAGTTTTTTTCATTTTTATTTACCCATTGTGATAAGGAAGGGTGGCATAGCAGATAAAATGCTATCCTTGGTGTCAGGAAGCTCTAAGATCAAATGCCTCTCTGACCTTTTTAAACTATGCAATCATGGACAACCATAACTTTCTGATCCTCAGGCAACTTCCTAACATTTATCTAATAATTGCTAGAGGGGTTATAATCTGAGTTGGAACAGAGAGCTCCCATATCCAGGAAAAAACAGTGCCTTGACCTATTGACTCACTATAGTGAATAATCATTTGTATGTCGTCAGAAGCATTGAAAAGTACATGATCTTTCGAGGTATCAGGAAATTATCCAGTAAGTTACCGCTCTAGTTCTTAATATGGAGTCCATGAACTTTTGAAAATTTATTTTGATAATTGTATTTTGATGTAATTAGTTTCCTTTGTAATCATATATTTTGTTTTATGCATTTAAGATATTCTTCTGAGAAGAGGTACATGACACACACACACAAAAAGGATTAGAATCTCTGCTCTAGTGTGCGCTCTCTCATTTTTGAGAGAGTTACCATAGCCAAATTGATTGCCCAGTGATCATCATCTACCTTCAAGATATAGCTATACAAAAATCCGGTTATTTCCTGCATGTTGACTCAGGCAAAGCTAAGCCACGAAAGAGCCAAGGAAACTGAGACACTACATATACCAGGCCAGGATGACAGTACAATTATATCCATGAAATGGTTTTGCATCAAAGCAGAGAAGGAGGTTGGACAATTGAAGAATACGGTATTCA